CACTTACACCTACACTTTCTCTCTCCCCGTGCACAAACACGCCGGAGGACATAACCACAGACACCGCCCGCCTCAGGCCGTCGGATGCCCGCCTCCTGCCATCTTCCTTCCGTCGCCCGCCGCCTGTCGGAAGTTCATAGCCAGACACACGTAACCGGCAGCCGCTGCACGTCACCTGCCGCCCGACGCCGCCTGCCGGAAAAACACATCCGCACGCACTCTTGATTCAAACGCTGGCGGACAACATACGTCTGTAGATTGATTCCGTCAGCCGTCACTGTAACGCCCCGTTTTGTTTTAAAGAATTTACCGAATTTATTTAATAAAAACCAGAGTTATATTTTTAAAAAAAAAATCCAAATTAAAACATTTATCGAGGAACGGGTGCTACTCACTAACAACAGCAAACAAACAACACACCCAACAGTTCAAAGAACCTACACATGCTCGAGCCATCAAAATAAACAATCCCACAAAACATACGTCTTCAAATCATTTCAAAGGTCTAGCATGATCAAAGTTCAACAGACTTAAACTTAGTTCGAAAAGCAAAAACAATAAATAATCCGAGTACGATAGCAAATAAATAAATAACAAGTTCATGCGGAAGCATAGGGTTTCAACACATAATGACCACCATCTCGCTCGTCCTACGCCACCGCCTCCAGCTCGTCTCGACCTAGAACAAAGGAAGAGAAAAGACAACAAAGAAAATAACGGGGGTGAGCAACCAACAAACTCACCATTATCGCACAATTATCTCGTATAATTATTTTTAAAAGCAGTATCACGGTAAACAGTATCAGTATCGGTATGCATAGAATTCATAGCCTAAACCCCCTACCCGGCCCTATCGCAAACCTCCTATGTACATACAACAACCTTCCGACCAAACATCGGCAAGGCCGTAACTGGAAAATTTCCCCCACACCGAACTACTCACGGATCATGAGAGTCCACCCTGAACTACTCACGGATCATGGATGTTTTCCAGGAGACAGTGGAGATGTTTTTCCCCCCGAAACTCACACGGATCAGGGCGTCTCCTCCCGGATACAACGGGCAGGTGACCTCTCACTGTTATGCATTCGTCAAAGGCACTATCATTCGGGACACTTAGACTAGAGTTCTTATGCATACAATAATTTTCAAAAGAAAATATTACACGAAATAATGAGTGCGATAAATATGGAATACATCATAAATGTACCCACTTGATTGCAGCAACAGTTCAAAGTCACAAATCTCGAAATGAGGCGAGGTCAACACCTCTAGACACCTACATAAGTCCAGATACTAAAATCAACACTTTAATCTAGACCTAAGTAGAAAATTCACAAATTGACTTAGCCGAACTTGGTTCGACCAAGTAGTTCGTGAAGTTCTGTGGATATGGGAACTCTAGGACCTAGACTCGATCAAACCACATATTCAAGTTCACAAAATCACAAATGAAAGACAATCAAACGAGTCGCATGTAGACACATAGCAAATTCGTTCAACAACACTTAACCGAAAATCACCATATAACAACAATTTCCAAAATTACACTTGAATTAGAAGGTATATCAAACCTACGAGTTAGGTTCTGAAAATTTTACATAACATTCACCTCTCAGTTCTAAGAAAAATAATCAAGTTTCAGCTTCCAACTCAATGTACATAATTTTATAAAATTCACACAAGTTTTTCAACAAAAGCAAGTTTAAATTAAAAACACATGATAATGGACGATTCAGGCCATGAAATTATTATCTAAAATACTACATCATATCAAAAGCCACATATAAAAATACCAGCCTTTAACACTTAGCATGTGAATTTATAAAATTAAAACAACATTCAGCCAACTATCAAATTTCTATCAGAAATGACCCTAAACAGATTCCAAAAATTCCAATACTTTTACAGAATGCCAAACACCACATAATCAGCTCCTCATCCAAAATTCAGGATTTTTCAGCTTCAGAACAATTTATTGTAATTAAAACAAATTCGGGCTTAAACACAAGATAAATCACCAACCCTATAAACACTAAACCAAAAATTCTAAAACTTTTATACAACATATAATCATGCCTGAGACATAACATACTTGAAAATTGGCTAGAAAGGAGCACTACACAATTAATTATGCATTTTACAAGAAACTAAACAGAAATCAAATTAATTTTTAAAAATAGTTCCAGACCTTCAAAAATCACGGAATTTTACACAAGCTATATATTCATCAGAGTCAGCTGCTCCTAAAATATCGAGGCAATCGGACTAGTATTCAATCTATAATGATTTTTACATTCAAAATCGCCATTATAAACTTCGAAAAATCATAACGGCAAATATACACCTCCAATCGACACAAGGCCAATGCCATTGTGTTCGAAACAATCCTAAGTTCCTAAATCCACAGCAACTTAACACTTTAACGTGTTCTCGTTCGATTCACACGAATCGACCAAGATCACGCATAATACGACATTAATATTCAAACGTAATCACATGAAATCATAATCACAATTTCACAGCACGTTCAACACCCATCTCACATAATCTCACACATAAAAGAATACATAGAATTAAACGAGACGGGTCGAGCCTTATACCGTTCTCGGGACTCGATCAAAAAACTAGACGAACGAGGGTTGACGGGCTCGACACGCGAAACGAGACAGTGATTGCTCGACTGCAGGCTTTGTCTCACGGAGGGGCTGCGGGCTGGAGACGAATCATCGGGGCCGAAACGAGGTTTGTTGGAATCAGCCGAAGGCGGCGGCCGACTCAACGGTTGTGCTCGACTCGAGAAGTGGTTCAGCGGCGGTGATGGCGGCTCGTGGAGGAGCAGCAGCGGCTGTGGGAGGCTCGCCGGGCTGGGATGCTCTGACATGGAGGAGATGCTCGCCGGAGGTGATGGCTTGACTGGTTCACGGTTACGGTTCGGTGAGGAGCAGCAAGAGGACTGCGTGATGGTGCTCGCCAGAAAGAGATTTAGCCGCATTGGAGGATCGCTGTATAGAAGAAGGCCTCGTCTTTTGAGAAGAGAAGCTCGCCGGAGGTGATGGCCTGACTGGTTCACGGTTAGGGTTCGGCGAGGAGCAGCAAGAGGGTTGCATGATGATGCTCGCCGGAAAGAGATCTAGCCGCGGCGGAGGATCGCTGTAGAGAAGAAGGCCTCGTCTTTTGAGAAGAGAAGCTCGCCAGTGATGCTTCGCGTGAACAAGGCTCGTCGGAGGGGGACCGCGGCGTTGCTGCGCGCGACTGAGGGTGGTGGTTCGCGGTGGTCTGAACTGGCGGAGCAACGACGGTGACGCGCAGAGGAGACAGCTTGCCGGAGGTAATAGGCGACGTGCTGATGACGATTCGTGCGACGGGAAGATGACGACAGGAACACAGAAAAAATACGAGGGGGTGATGACGAGGTGATCGAAGGATGGTGATGAGATGATCGGACAGAGGTGACGACGGGAAAAACCAAAAAATGAATAGATCGTTTCTCTCTGTGCGCGAACGGGAAGGAAAAAGAAAAGACGAGATTGAGATAGAGACAGAGGGGCTGCGGCCGAAAAAACTGAGATGAACATATAGGTACAAGATTTGTATATATAGTTGCACAATATAATAAATTAGGTTTGACTTTGTCTTGATCCTTAAGACAATCTTTCACACACACACACGCACGAGATTTGGGAGAGACGGATTTGGGCCGGATTTTGGCTCGCGGCCCGGTCGATTGGGCTGGTTCGCGACAACGAAATCGGCTCACGGGCTCGATTTCGTTTCACACGGGTATTTTCGGGCTCGATAAAATCGCACGTTAATATATATTCGGCTCTCGGGCCCGATTTAAACCCCACAATTAAAGAAATACAACTCGGATAATTATTTACACATTGTTTTAAAATAATAATATCAATAATCAAGTAAGATTCTCTCGTTGAGAGCGTTTCCCATTCTCTCGTTGAGAGCGTTCCATAGTGATTTTCCCCTGGATTTCTCTTCATCTTAGTGTTTGTCTCCGGAAATTATTGTGAATTTATCACCCCATGTTTCAATTTTGATTGGGGTTACCTCGCTTTTTTAGGTTTTCGGCACAGTATGGGCACTTCGACCTGCGTAGGGCAGGATGATGAATTGGCCCAACGGCTATTAGAAGTTTCTCTTTCCGACCGTGAACACGCTTTTATAGACATAGCCCCGACGGATATTAAGCTCAGCGATGCAGAATGTCAGCGTAGTCTTTTTGGAAAAATCATAGGAGACAGAAAAGCCAGTTGGATTGGTTTGAAGCGTACTATGAGCAACATATGGCGATTACAACAACCAATGGAAATCAAAGAGTTGGGGCATAATTATTTCCAATTTATATTCCAAAGCAAAGAAGACCTTCGACGAGTTGCTGCAGGTACTAACTGGATATTTGACAATCAGTTCCTAATTCTAGCTGAGTGGCAACCAGGTCTCTCTATCAACCACCCTATATTCTCTGAGTTACACTTATGGGTACAAGTCTTTAATATTCCTTTAAATTGGTTGAGCTCGGATGTTGGCCTCAAAATTGGAAATGTCTTCAAATCAGTCCAAAATGTAGTGATTGTAGGTGCGGAGGGATTTCTAGGCCGCTTTTAGCGTGTCCTCTCTGTTTTCTCTTTTCGGCTGTTGGTCATGTACGTATTCGAACTATGTTCTTGTTGAGTTTGTGATATAATATCTCTTTCGTTCCGAAAAAAAAAAATAATATCAATAATCAAAATATAAAATTAACAATTAATTGACAATTAGACATATAATATTTAGACATTCAATAATTGCAATAATATTAATAATTACACAATAGTAATAATAATAATAACAATAATCAATTATAATAATAATAATAATAATAATAATAAATATTTCCAATTAATCCACAAATAAATGGGGCATTACAGTCTACCCTCCTTAAAGGATTTCCGTCCCCGGAAATCCAAGAAAAATCATCCCAACAGGACAACTGACACAAGAGAGAAGCTCTAACCACTAAACTCGGATACTCGGTCCGAAATTCTCCACTCTACCAAGTCACTTCGCACTAGCCACGGTTACCCCGTCGGACTTTGACGAGTACCTCTTCCGGACTCTCCCTGCTGGATTCGTCAATCCAGTAAGTCACCGGTACCTCATCAAAGGTAAGGTTCTGCCCACATGCAGCTCGTC